TAAGGTTATAAAGAGTCGAAAGGCTGGATTGTGAGGCAATATTTAAGGTTATTGGCTCTATAAAGTGGTTCTGAACAATTTCGGGCTGTGAGCTATCATAAGAATTTTTTATAAAGTACCACCGTTATCAGGTGTTAATTGAGACTTGGATAGTTATTATCATGTATTAATGTGGGTTATTGATACAAGCAGGGGCTCGTATAGATAATTACCCGAGTCTGTGATTCGGCATTCTATCCATACTGAACTTCAAAATGAATGACTATTATACTGCACTACTGTTTGCCAAAATCAGCTTTTAGATATCAACAAATATCAGCTGATGCCTTCCCGTAAAAAAAAAAAAAACGGCTTCATTCGTTCCTCGGTGATTTTAACGATTGTATGCTTCAAAAAATTATGGAATACACTCTTTGAAGCACAAAATCCCCTACTAAGGAATAATACCGCTAGAAATCAACTGATATATCAAAATAACGTAAGAGGATTAGAACATTGTATTTTTGAAACTGAGAGTCCGAAAGTTAGGTTAAGACTTCCTACAAACGTGAAGATTCTAGCATAAGAAAATTGTGTTAAGAACTGATTTGCATTGCATAATTTCCTTAAGCACAGATTTGCATTGTATAATTTCCTTAAGCACTGGTTTGCATTGCTTAATTTCCTTAAGCATATTGTGTTAAGAACTGATTTGGATTGCATTCCTCCACACAGGCACAAGCAACGGCTGTGGTGCAGATGTACGGGACGGAGCCACCGCACCATAGCAGCTGGTACAAGATCCACTGCGGGGTGGCCACCTTTACCAAAGACAACATCCGCAAGTCCTTTTTCATCCAGGCGAGTTCGTTTTCTTCATCCGTCGTCAGTCATTCTCCCTTTTAGATGTGTATTTTATTCAACAATACGTCCCTCTTCTACTTTCCCTTCTCAGAAATTGCCTTTCCATATTATCCATTTATTATCTACCTTGAGTAACAATTATTTTCAGATTTTGAGAATGAATTGGAACTTTTTAAAACGTTCGAAACTTTATTGATTTTTTTTAATGATTTCGAGAAGAAATTGGCTTTTAAAACTTAAAAATTCTCTTTCTTTATGGAATAATTTGTTCAGATTTGGAGAACAAATTGGAATTCGCTCCCATTATTTTAAGACTTAAACGTTTTTCTGGTCATATCTTCCAGGTTTACGACTTCGCGACGGGCCAAAGGGTCTTCGAGCAGGAAATCTACAGGGAGTTTTCTTATCACGATTCTAGACCTCATTTCCATCAATTCGAATCTGACGTAAGTTGTTATTTTTTATTAGTTTATTGTGCTTGTAATTCCTGTATTACTTGCGCTTTTGAAACTATGATTATTACTGTCGTCGTCGTCGTCGTCATCGTAACCATTATTATTTCTTTTAGTTATTGACATTTTCTTATCATTATTAGAGGCAAACACAGGCACAGAAAGGCAAATGAACATAGACAGTTAAACAGAACTCACACACAGTCTATGTCATTATACTGTACTGCTTGTGGTCGGCCCGTCTGTCTGTCACATGTATATTTAATGCCTGAAATCATATTTCGTTTGACTAAGAACTTCAAGTTTCTTCGTTCTGATGTAAAATAGGCATCTACTGCTTGGTATCCCATTCCATGTTACTTCGAAAATCAAGTCTATTAGTTTTGGTGGATTATGGGGGGGGGGGTGATACATTATTGACAACATAGATATTAAGGAATGCCCCACATCATGATGTCCATGTCTCTGTCCACGTCCATGTCTGTGTCAGTGTCCATGTCTGTATCCTTGTCTGTGTCCTTGTCCATGTCTATGTATGTGTCTATGTCTTTGTCCATGTCTATGTGTCTATGTCCTTGTCCATGTCCATGTCTGTGTCCTTGTCCATGTCCATGTCTGTGTCCTTGTCCTTGTCCATGTCTGTGTCCTTGTCCTTGTCCCTGTGTCCTTGTCCATGTCCATGTCTGTGTCCTTGTCCATGTCCATGTCTGTGTCCTTGTCCTTGTCCATGTCTGTGTCCTTGTCCATGTCTGTGTCCTTGTCCATGTCCATATCTGTGTTCTTGTCCATATCTGTGTCCTTGTCCATGTCCATATCTGTGTCCTTGTCCATATCTGTGTCCTTGTCCATATCTGTGTCCTTGTCCATATCTGTGTCCTTGTCCATGTCCTTGTCCATGTTCATGTCCATGTCCATGTCTGTGTCCTTGTCCATGTCCATATATGTGTGTCCATATATGTGTCCTTGTCCATGTCTGTGTCCTTGTCCTTGTCCATGTCCCTGTGTCCTTGTCCATGTCCGTGTCCTTGTTGTCTGTGTCCTTGTCCATGTCCATATATGTGTCCTTGTCCATATATGTGTCCTTGTCCATGTCTGTGTCCTTGTCCTTGTCCATGTCCATATCTGTGTCCTTGTCCATGTCCGTGTCCTTGTCCACGTCTGTGTCCTTGTCCATGTCCATATCTGTGTCCACGTCTGTGTCCTTG